TCTGCCTTTTAGTTACACAAAACCCACAGGTTTTCATTGTGCAGCATTACAACTTTCTAGGGACCAGCAACATAACAACCAATGATGTCATCAGTTGATAAGAAGGACATCAGGCATCTGCACAGCATCCTTCTTTGTCCCTTCCCTGCCCCCTCTCCGTGAGCACTAGGGTTCAACTTACTGAGTATGAGAGAAAAACTGAGGGAGAAGAGAAACAATGGAGTACTAGCCAGTACCAGTGTGCAAAAGTGTATGTGCTTTGAATTAATGTTGGGTGTCCTACATGTGCAGGGTGTTGCTGCGTTCTGTAAAACTATTTTAGTTTTATTACATTTTATAATGGGGTGCCTCAAGATTGTGCAGAATTTAAAGGGTGCCTCAAGATTGTGCAGAATTTTAAAGTATATGTGTGTGTAACTTGCGAGCCACTAAAATATTCCTCTGGATCGCTAACATTTATCACATACTCTAACTGTGTAAAAAAAGACCATATAACTAAAAAATGTTGCGCTCCCAGTCTCTAACAAACATATAAATTAGTGACTTCAAATTATATATCCATGAAAAACTAACAATATACCATACATAAATAAATGAATATCAAGTTAAATGTGATGTGAATCAAATAAAATAAAAAAAATAGTCCCATTACTCAAATAACACAGTAAAGTCAGTCTGTATATGCAGTACAGCATGCTTGTTATGCTCACTGTGGAACTTAAGGGGTTAATCCTCTGCATTGTGTAAAAAGGATGTTTTATCCTGTCTTTTCTGATCCTCCCCTTCTTCCATGTTCCTCATTTAATCTCCTGAGGGACACTGCACATTTTGGTGTGTACTGCTGGAGAGGTTTTTTCTTTTTCTTGGGAGGGTGCATGTGATCAGCACAGGGCCAATCGGCACTGTCAACACAGAGGGTTGGGGGTTATGCAATGTTATAGGGCAGTGAGAGGAGAATGAAAATGTCTCCTACAAGCTAAAACCTGTGCTCAGCTGGCCAGTGATAGAAGTCACAAGACTGCTCTAACTGCTGATGAGAAAAGGTATTTAGTAGTTTTTATTCACTAAAATAATTGCATTTTCATGTTCTGTGTACTGTGGGAGACCAGATATAGTGAATACAGGGTCCTGGGTTTAATAACACTTTTCAAGGGGTGCCTTGGCTGAAAAAAGGCTAGGAAACACTGGTCTAGTTCATGGAGCTGGGCTTCAAAAACCTGTCTGAGGGAAGAGTTGTCCCAGCAGTTGAAACCTGAAACAGTTGGAGAAAATGAGTGTGAATCTGATTAGTTGCCATGGGTTTTCTTGGAAAGCTCCACCCACAAATAGTTTTATAATTAAAATATACCTGTCACATGTAAAACCTGTTAAATCTATGCTTAGTGTCTCAAAAAAAAAAAAAGTGACGTTAAGTTACATACCTCCTTCGTCTTTAAACACCACTGTACTGCAACCCAAGAATCCCAAAAATCTGGAGCTTGATCACACTCAAACAACATTTCAGAAGCCATGCAGGTTCTTCAGTAGTAATTGCATGTTATTGTGTGATGCTGGAATTTGTATCTGAACAGTTTCTGCATGGGCTTAGGAGGCTGACATGGCACTTTTGACATAGAACACTAGTTCCCAACATGGGATACGCAACAGGACATTTAGGGGTACAGGAAAAAAATAATATGGGTGGTAAAAGGGAGTGGCGTGGGCTCTTAAATATTTGTAAACACAGCTGGGGAACAGTTTATTTATGATTTATTTATTACAGGTACTTATATAGTGCTGTCAATTTACACAGCACTTTACATGTGTATATATATCATGTACATTCAGTCCCTAACCCTCAAGGGGTGTACAATCTAAGGTTCCTAACTTACATTCATACATACTAGGGCTAATTTAGACAGGAGCCAATTAACCTACCAGTTGTCTAGTTATGGAAACACCACACTCCAGGAGGTCGGCAGAACGTGGGACGCTTCTATAATACATGGTATGAATCCATTGAATGCCTGACAGCAAGACGTGTGCAGGACCACGTAGATGACCTTTTCCAGAACCAGTCTTGGCTTCAAACTGCTATCACACTGGAATCGGCTTGATCCACCTCTCCTCAGGGTTGCACCGCCCATCAGTCAACTGAAGTGCTTTCATCAGATGAGATCCATCCACTCTGCAACATTGATCCCCTCCACTGCAGTCTTCACTGAGCACTAATAGTGCCGCTGTGACCCTCCCTGTACTGGAACATACAGGTGAACAACCAGACTGAACCTTTTCTCCATCTGAATGCTCCATAGCCCAGACACCCATCATGACGGAATGCCTAGACTTGTAGCCCGTAGTGGCCACAAAACCCCAGAGGAGCGCCAGATCCAAAGAATCCAGTGTCACAGGCCACATCCCAAATAGGCCCCAAGATACCACTGGACACACCACCGCAGTATAGAGCCCCCACTCCAGCTTTCTTAGCTCAACTGTTTCATCCAACTGGCACTGATGCAGTGGCCTTTTTCTTCCCACTGATACAGGGGCATCTAATCCTCCCACTGACACTGATGCAGGGGCACTTTTTTTTCCCTGTGACACTTTTCCCTCACTACTGTTAGCCGATATTTTGCACCATTATTAAACGCTTTGATTTTCTGTGGTGTGCCACAACCATTGCCATTATTTTGACGCATGCAGTAGCCATTACATACATTTTGGCATGCTATTAGCCCTCATCTTTGTCACACTCCCATTTACAGGCTCTGTGATTGAATAACTCAGGTCATTATCAGTGCAGGTCTCGGTGGCCAGGAACAGGAGCAGCAGAATGACCTGACATTAACTGCTTAAGTTCTGCCCATCAGTAGCATTCACAGCACGCTGCCATGCCCTACTATGATTTTTTGGGGGTGAGTAAAATTTCTAAGAATGGTCTGTTAAGGGGTCACAAGTGAAAAAAGGTTGGGAACTACTGCCAAAATATGCATACACTTCACGATGCCTGCTGTCAAACATTCGGTTTATTTCTAGCCGCTTTATACACAACAAACGTACCTACCTCAACCCAGTCCTACTTGACCTCCTTTCTTCAAGCTGTCAATTGGAATCCTAGATGGGATACTGCTTAGTTAGTGTGGTATCTCTAGTGCAGGCCATAGACGGGTTGTTTATTGGCTGAATTTTCGTCCGCACGAAAAATCGGCCGATATTCACACCGTTAGTGGGGCCAGCCTGTTGGCCGTTTTTCGCAGATCTCCTCATTTATTTTTATCGGTCATATTGGAAAATCCGCAAAAAACTGCCGTTTTTCGTGGACATTGGTGGCAGCATTGGCAATGGGGGCCGACCTATTTTTTGTTTATCAGCTGAAAATTCAGCCGATAAATGGCCCATCTATGGCCTGCCTTTGTCACTAGCAAGTGTCCACATTTACAGCAAGCTGTTAAAACGGCTAATGAGGCTCCCCTCCTAGAGGGCACAAAAAATGATGTACCATTGTCTATAATCTGTAAACCAGTTTTGTTGGAGGCAACACAACATTATAGGTAAACTAGAAGATCTTACAAAGGGATCACTTTTCAGTCAAATATTATTCCAAAACAAATGTTATTTCTATTTTAGGGTATTTTATGATTTATGACTGAATATAAACTAGATATTATTGCAGTCATGTTGACATTCTGGGTTTTTTTCTGGCTTTGATGATGAGTAAGTAAACCGCTATATAGTCTCCTGCTTGTGTCATTTTCTGTGCCATTTGCATGCTTTGTTAATGAATTTCCTGTCATCTCAAGTGTCACTTTGTATAACAGCAGATTGTGAAGTCTTTCCTGTGTAGGCTTGCTGACGCATAAATCATAGTGTGCTCTCTGTTGTTTTAGTGACTGGTGGAGTCAAGTAGAGCAAATTAAAGGGCATTTCTACACACCAGCTTAGAAATAATCTGCAGTAATTTGTCAGAGCAGTTGACCTTGGAACATTTACCTGGCTGTGAGTCATTTTTAGAGTGTATTTGTTTTTTTCTTGCAGTGCAAAAAATGATACTAGGAAATAAGTCAAGTCTGCAATTGCAGCGTTGGTCAGTCAGAAACTCCACTCAGACCTGTTTGCATTTAACAAAACGTTTCCTAAGAGAAATTTGGGAACTGTTGTTGGTCACGTCCTTATGGAAATGCTAGATGCCTTGCTCTTGTACTGATCTTTTGGTTAAATACTTTGAGTTTGTGACTGAAGGTACTAGAATCAGAGGGAGCAGAATGAGAAGCCAGCAATAGCAGGATCTGTGTTCACTTGTCAGCATGTCACAACTGATTTGTTTTGTAGCTGGAAAAAGCCTTTTCTCTCATTTATTTTTTTTATATATATATATATATATATATATATATATATATATATATATATATATTTACGCAGCGCTTTACATATATATTGTACATTCACATCAGTCCCTAACCCTCAAGGGGTGTGCAATCTAAGGTCCCTAAAGTACATTCATACATACACATATTAGGGCCAATTTAGACAGGATCCATTTAACCTACCAGCATGTCTTTGGAGTGTGGGAAGAAACGGGAGTACCCAGAGGAAACCACACAGGCACAGAGAGAACATGCAAACTCCAGACCTGGTACTGCCAGGCCAAGTGCTAACCATTTAGCCACTGTGCTGCCCGTGCTCTCATCATGCAATCATTCTACTTCTTCTATTCTGTTCAGTTTAGGGCCCCTTTTACTCAGATATCATCCATGCATGCGCACAGCGCTCTTTGCATTCAGGGCACACTCACATGTACCGGAGATGTCATTGACTGCAGCCAATGTGAATATCTTCTAAACGGTGCAAGTTTAGAAGAAATTTTATTATACCTACAGGTAAGCTCTATTATAAGCTTACCCGTTGGTATATGTTTTTTAATAATAGTTTATTCTGCTTTAAAGCTAAATTCCAGGTATGACAATTTTACCCAGTCCAGCTTGAACTAATGTAATCAATGTAATTATGTATGTGCTATACCTGCGAACATAGTACAGGAGATGACCAGAGACTGCGGACACAGTACAGGAGATGACCAGAGACTGCGGACACAGTACAGGAGATGACCAGAGACTGCGGACACAGTACAGGAGATGACCAGAGACTGCGGACACAGTACAGGAGATGACCAGAGACTGCGGACACAGTACAGGAGATGACCAGAGACTGCGGACACAGTACAGGAGATGACCAGAGACTGCGGACACAGTACAGGAGATGACCAGAGACTGCGGACACAGTACAGGAGATGACCAGAGACTGCGGACACAGTACAGGAGATGACCAGAGACTGTGGGCATAGTACAGGGGATGACCAGAGACTGCAGACATACTACAGAGACAGCGGAGATGACCAGAGACTGCGGACATAGTACAGAAATTACCAGAGACTTGCGGACATAGTACAGGAAATTGACCAGAGACTTGCGGACATAGTACAGGAGATGACCAGAGACTGCGGACATAGTACAGGAGATGACCAGAGACTGCGGACACAGTACAGGAGATGACCAGAGACTGCGGACACAGTACAGAAATTACCAGAGACTGCGGACACAGTACAGGAGATGACCAGAGACTGCGGACACAGTACAGGAGATGACCAGAGACTGCGGACATAGTACAGAAATTACCAGAGACTGCGGACATAGTACAGGAGATGACCAGAGACTGCAGACCTCTGGGGAGCGAATGCCCGAATTTGACAGGTACCCGCTCCCACTTCCGTGGAGTTGTCCTCCCTCCTGACAGGTCCCAGAAGACTGCCGGACCATTCACAAAGCGCAGCGCTTCTCGCACAGTGGGCACCCGTTTGTGAAGCCGCAAGCTGTCACAGCCGGATGCCCACAGTAAAGATGCTGGAGCCAGGGAGAGAAGACAGTGAGGACACCACTGGACTGACTGAGGAACAGGTAGGACCGAGGAGCAGGTTCTGCTGCACAGAAGAGCCGAGCGGCCAGCTGGGTATTCTAACATGGCAGCAGCGGGAATACTGGGCCGGCTGCTCCATATTTGCTCCATAAGACGCACAGACATTTTACCCCATTTTTGGGGGGAAAACAAGTGCATCTTATGGAGAGAAAAATACGGTACTTTAAGATCCTCACACTTTTACTTACAGGAATTCTGTGAGTAGTCACTGCTGTGTCACACAGTTCAAAGAGCCTGCCTTCCAAACTACAGAGGAGCTGAGAGGAGGAGTTTCAGGAGGTGGAGTCAGTACAGGAATCACAGCTTACATTCAGCAAGGTACCATGGAATATGTAGTCCTTAGAAATTGAAAGTAAACAGCAGATGAGAAGCTGCAAAGTATGCTGGGAATCTAGGAAGTTGTGGAAAGAGATAAGCAGACAGGTAGAACTCACAACAGAAGATTTTTCAAATAATAACCGGAAGGTCAAATCTAACTATTGTTTGTGTTATTATTACGGTGCTGATGTATGTTATAAAATGAAAGTGTATACTGTGGACATAGCACCCTTTTAATGGATAAAAATGACTAATCTATATCTAAGAACTGTATCGTAGTCTTCTATGTCATCCAAGAATATGTACATAATCCGCTGATGCAACATTCACAAGTGATCACTGGTATGTCAACAAGCACAGGAAGACATTGTCGTATTTAAGTGATGTGGAGAATATCCTTGGAGAGGTCTTAATTATGGCTAAAGATAGAAAATAGGATGTGTGTCGGCTGTCTTACTTCAGAATCTACACAAAATACACACCTCAGGCCTCATTTTATACCCTCCAGATTCTTTTTGACTGTTAATATTAGTTTTTTTTTGCTGTAAAAAACTAAATTCCTCAATTTCCACAACAACAAACGTATAGACCCATTTATTGTTATTGATTTTTTTAAAAATCTGTATAAAGTGTCCAGATTTAGAAAATATTATTATTATTTAATGTACTTATTTAGCGCTTTACGCAGCACTTTACATAGGAGCCAATTAACCTACCAGCATGTCTTTGGAGTGTGGGAGGAAACCGGAGTACCTGGAGGAAACCCACGCAGGCACAGAGAGAACATGCAAACTCCAGGCAGGTGGTGCCGTGGTTGGGATGTCTTTTATATTCTAAATAATCTAGGGTGAGCATATAGTGAAAGTATTATCTGGTACATATCCGATTATCTCTTGCTGTAGGTTGAATAGTGGTTAGCCTCTCAACACTTTCAAGTGTCAGAAGCTATAATATGTATGTGTTAGTTATTTCTGACACACAAATATTGAGTAAAGGAGAAAACAATGACAACTTCCCCTGAGAGGTCTACCATACAACCAGAGCTTTCACTGATGCTGTTCCATTTGAGAGATCCATCTACGACCACCCTTAGCAACATCCATGGACATTTCTTTGGGGGGTATAAGGGTAGGTCCCTTGCCACTGTTCATTGCTCCCTTTTATATAACAACGTCCATTCTTTATTTCTGAGCTATAAACTAGTTCAATGGCAGGGAAACAGAATCCACCCAACAATTAGTTTGCAGCCTAAGGGTCACAGAAAAGGTATTTTCAATCAAAGGTTTCTCACAAAGGTATTTTGCTCCATGACGGATTCACTTTAATTGTAAACTCGAGCTAAATGAGGCTTTCATTCTTATACAATTACCAGCTGCAAAATTTTGCTAACAAAGGAACTTTTTTTGTATCATTTTTCTGACTTGGCAGGAAATTGTATTTCAAACTGCTCTTTTATTGGAGTGGGGCTTTCTGTGCAGCTCTGTCACATCTTTGCCTGAATACAGCTTTGTTTTGAGCTTCACACTATTTGGAACTACAGTGGGCCAAGTTTGAAAAGTTATGGTTTAGACTTTAGAGCTATTACTTTTATGTTCAACAAGTATATTATGTGCGTGTGTTAAATAAATACTGGCTTTCTAGAGAAAAATCCGACTTCTTTCAACGCTTTGTGTTATTTGTGCTTTTTTTTAGTAATCATGCATTCGTATTTTAATGATTTTAAAGTACTGTAAAAGTTAAACTTGTTTTAGTTGTGATTGTGCAAAAGGATTAAAGCTTTTACTGGGTTATTTTCTTCTGTTCCACTGGGGAGATTTACATTCACTTCCTGTCCTGAAGAAGGAGAAGGAAATCAGAGAAAATCCCATTTTCGTCTTAGCATGTACTTTCGGTTGGTGGGTGGTAAAATGGCAGTTGGGCCATGGGTTTACCGCCCCCTGACAATTCGCCCAAAGCACCCCCCCCAGTCCCGGTTCACACCGGATCCGACTTTAAAATTGTACAACTTCACTTTGTGCACATTGTGTTCAGATGTCTATGCAAGTCGTACCCGAAATTGGCAAAAGTAGTGCAGGAACTACTTTTCAAAACGGTGTGTGTTTTGTCTCTCCAATCTAAGCATTGAAAGTGTAACTTACAATTATGATGAGATAGCGATAACTCCAGTCTTAGTTGAATAACACGATGAGTGACTCGATCTAGACGACACCTTGTAGATCTTGTGAAGTTTATTCCATAAACTGAGAGAATCTTACAACAATGAACATCAGATAGGTCAAAAGATCATAATGTGATCTGCTTCCATAAGACATGAGGCTAGAAGCTGAAAATGCATTACTGGGAAAAGAGGTGTGCTATCTATACAGCAAGAACTAAACCACAGGAAAGGGAGGAGTAGAGACAAAATACAGAGAACACTTAAAGGCATATGACAGTCATGTGAAACATGACAGTGTGACTCTGGCGTAGTCAGTCTCACTAATTAGAACAGTTCCATTGCTGATCATTGGATGCAATTTGTCATGTGATTTTGCATCAAATCGCATTTCAAGTCGCATCTGTGTGAACAGGGGCTTAAAGTGACTCATGAATTTGTATCTGAATGTGGTTTTCTGCCTCCTAACATCCCTCGAGAGCTTCCAAACCTCTCCTCCCCTCCCCCCTCAATTCTGTTTGTTTTAAACAAGCAGTGCATATTAGCTACTGCTGTGTGCACTGCTCTATGCACACTACACATTCCATAGTTTATAAATCATAGTCCCTAGTTCATCTCTGGAGCGAGCCAGAGAGGGTGGCTATGTTTCTACAGCTAGACCATGGTAAACAAAGCATAGCCACCCTCTAACTGGAAATAGAACCACAGCTGATAAAAAAAATAGAATTTATAGGAGGCTAAGATCAATAGAAGGTACATTTTAGTTAAAGTGGTTGTAAACCTCAAACATGAAATGTGAAAAAAACATATCCCTCTATAGTGTGTAACTGTCTCAATTAAGAGCACTTAGTGTCATTTCTGTTTGTTGTCTTGCTCCTCTGCTATCAGCATGAATCATTTCTGACAAGTTTTCCTGACACCAAGATGACAATGGTGACAGGCAGGGACCTCCAGCTGATTAGCATCCTCAGCTCTGTTCCTGTGTGCTGTGCGGAGGGAGGGGTGTGTCCCTTTCCTCCAATCAGCTCTCAGAGCTCTCCTCACTGAGCTCTGCAGAGTGTAGTTTCAGCTCTCTTCCTCCTTTTTCTGAACCCTCCAACAAGTATTCGTATCCTTATAATATGTATGGGTCAATGGGCTATATTGGTGTAGCAAGTTGAGCAAATATGGGCAATACAACATTTAGGAGATTCTCCGGAGTGTGGTTCCGGTGGTGTGATGGATCCTGGAACGTAGACCCGGTAAAATGGCTGTGGGTAATAGAGCATATAAAATCGGTGCAGTAACGTAGCGTTACATTTCTCTGAAGAAGCCACGTGAACTGTGGCGTAACGAGTAGGGGAGGGGCCAGCTGAAGTCATGACGCTACACGGAGTCAGAGTATAGGAAAATGGAGGAAGTTTATATTGCTGTTATGTGGTACATATCTGGTGCAATTTAGCGCCAAAAGCATGTGAGTGGCATTTTATATATATTTTAATAAAGTGTTTAAACGATAAAGCACCATTTCTGCTTATTCCGTTTCTTGCGGATCGCTGGGGAGAGGAGGAGTAGGTTTAGGTGGACAAGATTTAAAGCCTGTTGTGGGAAGGTGGGCCAACAGGGGAACCTGCATCTTACTTTGTCCCATTTAGAGGACACAAGCATGGTGTATTGTATAATGTGGTTGTATAATGTGAGGTCAAAAAGCTCCAGGTGTTGGTGGAGGAACACTGTTATATGTCGTATGAAGATACAATATTGAAAGATTATAGTTATGTCAAGATATATGGGACTTTATATATTCACTATTATGCACTAGTTTTGTTATGTGTATATATTTACGAATACATTTTTTGTTAATTGGAAGGCACTGCACTGATTTGGTTGTTTAGTTTTAGACACATTAGGGTGTAAGCGACTTTATTTTGAGGTTTTTATTTGTTTTATATATTTTTTTGAGTGTTTTGGTTGCTCGCGAGACTTTTTATTTAATTTTTATCCATGCTACTGTGCTGACACGTCAAAAGTAGATTAGTCTGGGTGCTTTAAGAAACCAAAATACTGAGCATCTAAGCATCTTAGTATGAAGCTTACATCAGACTGTGATAATGTATGCACCAATGTGATAGAGTGGCTAGCAGCAGTCCGTTCTCTGTACATTCCCTTGGAGACTGAGTAGACGTTAGGAGAAATATACAGTAGTCACAGCTTGATTCACAAAAAAACATAAACACAGTAAAGCCTCATGCACACTGGTGTTTATCAGCGTAATACCTCAGCACTTTCTTCTGC